TTTGCCCCCCTCCTCCCCTCCAACATACCCACGCAGGACGGTTCCCCAAGTACCTGAGCAGGCTGACAACCTCCGCAAGGAGCCGGTACTCTGGCGGCATCGATGCCAGATCAGTAAAGAGCGGCAGCCCCACGGCACGCACACGCAGAGAAAATCCTCAGTGAATAATTAAACCGGATTTTGTTGTACAAGGCCTTGCATCAGCACTAGGGACCTCCACGGGAAGGTAACGTGGGAAAGAGGGGGTAAAAGAACAGGTCTGAAGTTTCCCGGTCCTCAAAGGGGCAGGTTTGAGTCCTGGTGCCCTCTCGAGAAGCTGCATCCTTTTCCCCACGACACATTCGAACTGAAGTTTGCTGTAGAGCAGCATTTACAGCAAGAAATATCAACAGACTGTGGTCGTCATGCTTCACCCTAAATGGCTGTAGGCCTCCAAACTGTAATTTATACACGAAAAAACCCAGAGCTATAGAAAGTAGTAATACTGCACAAGTTTTTGCATCTTTCAAACGCAAACGATGACATAAAAAAAGGGCAGATCCTTGTGTTTCCACTGCACAAGTTTTTGCATCTTTCAAACGCAAATGATGACATAAAAAAAGGGCAGTTCCTTGTGTTTCCGAATGCCAAACCGCCTTGTCATTCCGAATCCAAACATCTACTAATTTAACATGCTTTGCTACTGTCAAATTACCAATACAGATTAGGCCCCCTCTTTTTTGTTTTTGAAGTCAAGTGCCACAACCATGAAGAAAAATCAAGAATGTCGGAGACCAAAACAATGCCAGTTGTTTGACAGAGACTGCCAAGTAAAAATCCAAGAACCAGTAAGACGGAGAACTGCTTTATCACAGGGAAATAACAGCATCCAACTTCTCGCATCACAGCACACACAACTGCAGCGGCATTTTTTTTTGATGCCTACAAGCAAATTTGTTTCCTGCTCCACTCCTGTTCTACTAATATAATTTCCACAGCTCATTTTAACATTGCCTCCTGATCGCTCTACACGTATACCAAGAGTTTTACAAAAATAAATGGGAATTGATTATCCAAAATTAAAAGTACATTAAAATCCATCAAACGTGCACTTACACCAGTGGGGACAGAGGGACCAACCTGGAAGAATCTGTGCCCGCCACAAGGCAAAAGCAAGCTGTAACTACTGCATCATGGTTGATATTCATTCCTAAACGACCATTTCACAATTTGTGGCTGAAGATAGAGAGTATGTTTCAAAGCAAGACTGCCAGATACATAAAGCCTTCACGCAGAGCAACTGATAGCAGAAATGAATGTCAGTCAGCAAAGAGCAATGTCACATCTGAAGGCGAAAAAAAAAAAAGAATCCAATCTTTTTATCTTACTGACAAGCATCTTTAGCAGTTCTGCTTCCAGCCCTCGACTTTCCTCAACAAACCAAGAGTTAAAGCCAGAAAATTCACATCTGTCCCAGCCACTACAAAGATGACATTTACATCATTCCGCCGTACGTTATCCTACGGTCGTAAACCAGGGCTCCCCCCAGCAAAGCCCCCAGCCCTGTTCAAAGGACGTCAGACACTGCAGATGTTAATCTCAGCTTTTCCACCGCAATCGCGACCAACACCTCCAAGAGCTCTCAAACTCCACTGGACGGAGGCTCTGAACAGCAGAAGTGCAACCTTGACGGTAACTGACGCTACCCGAAAAAAAATACAACCCCCGGGGTGAACACGCACTGCAGACCGAACGGGAGGAAACCCAGCTCGCCAAAACCGGTCTTTGGAAGAGATAACTCACTGTTCTGGGGATGGGTGGCGACAGAGATCCGTTAGGCATGTACGGGTCGTTATTCATATTTGGCATCATGATATACCCAGAATAACCAGAGTATGATGGTCCCTTGCTGTATAAGCCACTGTCTGGATGCTTTCCTATGGAAGAGGAAACAATGATTACATTATTCCCCACATACGCACTTCTTGTCAGTTAGAGCACTTAAACAGGTACTGTGCATTCATAAAAATGTTCTGCATGCAAACATTTCCTTACTCAGGAAAATTACCTCTGACAGAAAGTGGTCCGTAGCAATTTGTAATAACGTTTTTTAAGAAGAGTTAACTCTTAAAGGAGCAAGCACTCTCAGTGAGGAGTTTATGCTTAAAATAGAGAACAGCCTCAGAGTAGCCAATTTATTTTGCTAGTCCCTGTTCAAATCAAGGCAGAAACATCAGCAATGACATCACATCTCTCAGGTAGCAGTTTTCCCCCACTTTATACATCCCTCTAGGATTTGTGGATTCAAAAGTATTGCCAGTATGGGTTTCCAACATCATTCTCAGGAAAGAGAGGAACACGGCAGTGATAACTAGATAGAATCATTTCCTTCTCTCGCCGAGGCGCTGTGTGCAGCAAACAATTCATTCTGGCCACGCTCACCAAGAACAATTAGTGGGCAGGGGCTGCCTCGGAAGGCGACCCTAACAATTTGTGGAGGGGAGAGGGGCTGCTGAACACACATGGCACTAATAGTCAAGAGGGAAGCCAAGTGAGGGAGGCTATTTTTTCAGGAAAATAAAGAATTTGGGTCCAGGTCCTGCAAAGGGGGGTGAACAGGTCTCCCACCTATATGACTGTTGACAATGATACTACTCAAAGGTGAGATTTTAAGAGGATGCAAGGCTGAAAAGAAAGCTGTAACAGAGCTGACCTCCTCCCCCTCACTGCCAAAATGCTATGGGCACGGACATGGCTGTTTTTAGGCTGTCTAATGACCAATTTGGAGAAAGATCGCCACAGAGTCCGGAAAGCACCAGGACTGAAACGTGTCTGTCTTTATATGGAATTTATGATCTGCTTTGGTTCGTGACGATAAGCATTTCATTTTAAACATAATCTCCCATCCTTCACAGCACACATTCTTTGTACGCGTGTCCAGCTTCCTAAGTGATATTCAACGAACTCTGTTATTTCCTCTGTCCTCCTCAATCAAAATTAACCAGCTGGTACATTAAAAAAAGCAAGAGGTCTGTTCGTGCTTACATTGGGAGGAGGAGATTTAAGCAACAGACTTTGGCTACAGCGGGGAAAAAGCACAGAGTTTCTGAACACACACACAACTTTGCTGCAGTGTATGAGTGAAGAGATAGATATGTTTAAGCAGATATCCTAAAAATAGTTATTTCTTCAGCGAAGATCCATTTGGCCTACTTATCAGTTTCTAAACAACTAAAATACCATTTGGTCACTCAAGATAAACGTGCTGCACATTCATCTCCTTTTGAAACATGCTTTTAAAGCACCCTGGCACCCCTCCTCCCCAAAAGGTACTAAATTTATGTTTTCCAAAAGAAACCAAGCTCCAGTTTGAGGATGGCGCGGAGGCTCACAGGGGGGACTAGGAAGGGACAATATGGCAAGACAGGACCATGCGCTTCTCACCTTCCTCGGGGTGCTCTCTGCCTTTATCATGGTAGGAATCCTGTGCTTGAGTCTGTCTGGAAACCTGACCATCAGAAAAGAAGAAGAAAAAGAAGAAAAGTCATTGTATGGATGCTCATTTACCGATCACAGCGCTACAGCTTCGTGTCGAAAGAAAAAAGTTACAGCAAAAGATAAGCAGTTTTCTTTTCCCTCTTAAGTGTCTTGGAAGGCAACTGTACCAGAAATGTGCATGTCAACGACCGTTTTATGACAACGTGGATAACTATGGGGCTTTGCGAAGAGACTCTAGCAGAAGCGCCCTGCATTTAACGAAAGGGGCTTATTTCTGGAAAATATCTGGAGCTTCGGCAGTCAAAGCACTCTCGGTAAAAAGATATCAAAACTAATAATGAAAATCACGTTGTCCTCAGTAACTGTTCTTTAGGGAAAAAAAAGACTAAAAACAAAAGAAAGAAAACAAAAAAAAGAAAGGAAAAAAGAGAAAAAGCCGCAGGTCTCCCACTCGCCCTTAAGTTGATTTAGCGTCGGGAATTTCTTCCCAAACAGTTTTATGCAAATCCCTTATAGAGTTACGGCTAATGCCCCGATCCCGCTGATTTTACCGAGGAATTTTCATGGCTGCTTGCGGTCCAGTACACCACCGCACCGTCGGGGGACTCGCGGGAACCTTCTCGTCTCGGGCCGAAGCGCAAAGGGGTCTCCCCGGGCCCTCCCAACCCATCCCATGGCGCGGAGGGGCGCGGAGCCCGCCCGGCTCCGGAACGAGAGTTGGGATGGAATGATTTTGCTTGGGTTTTTAGGGATATTCGGAAAAGAGGGGGTTCCCCGGTGCCCCGACGAAGCTCGCTCCCTCCCCGCCTCCCTG